TCAAGTCAACGATATATTGATGCAATTATATAAATGATCCATATATTCATATTTATAATGGTAATTTTGGAACCTTTGTTTTAAATTTGAGTTACTTTTAAATTGTCTATTGAAAACATATTCTCACTTTTAATTGAAAAAAGTTTCAGGTTGTTCGTTAATTATGAAAATATAAATTCTCCCCTTTAATTTATGACAATCTCAACATCGTGGACGACACAAGGTTATGGTATAGAATATCTTTTTTCTTCAAAAACATTTTAATTTTCCTGTTTATCGAATTTATTACAAGAACGACGTTATTTAAATCAATTTTAATTCTTATTGGAGATGGAATCGTACAGGATTAAAAAGATAGAAGCAACTTACAATTGGACAATACTTTCTTTTCTTTTTTGAATTGTTTTGTCACATTTGAAAAAAACAATCTCTGTGAGATGTTTTTGCACTAGGAAAAAAACTGAAATTAGCTATTAATTTTGTTGTTGATTTGATCGTATCTCACCTATATTTGTAATAATATAAAATTTACGAGTTATCTTACTATATATCATTTTAGTTACATAATTTGTTCATCACTACTTTCTATTTATTTTTTTTGGTATGTAGTGTTCTTTTTTTTTTCTTCTACTAGAATTTGTAACTTTTATTTTTATTTTTTTGAGAGAGTATCATGACCACTGGAAGCATCATATATATCTTTATGAAATTATATTTATTTATTTGTTTGTTTTAGAATCCCTAAGTGGCAATGTTATTTTTTAGTATATCATTTTCCCTTTGGTTGAGGGTTTTGCAAGTTGCTGGTTTCTTAGAAGAAGCGGAATAGTAATACGTCTTCGGTCTATTTTTATTTATTCATTATATTTAAAGTATTTATTTATTTTTATTTTTTAAATTGAAACAATTATGATATAATTTCTAATTTATTTTTATTATAAATATAATTATTTAAATGTATATGTTATATTTATTATATTCAAAAATAATATAATAAATTGTTATTTTATTTTGTACTCCTTAAAAATTATGTTAAATCAATACTGAATGAGTAAAATAAACTAAGGGAGTAGAAACTAATCTTTGCTTGCTTTATTAAGTACTCTCTCTATCCCTAATTACTTATCCACTTTTGACTTGACACACATATTAAGAAAAAATAATTAATGACATAGTGAGTTTATTATTTTACCCCTATTAATTATGAAGTTGATGAAAAGTTCTACATTTTTCAAAGTAATTAGTCATTTAATTGAGGGTATAATAGGTAAAAAAATTTGTCCTTTCTTGATTTGTCAAAATTGACAAGTAATTAGGGACAACTATAAAAAGAAAAGTAGACAAGTAATTAAGGAGAGTGAGGGAGTAGTAAACTTTTTAAAACTTTCTCATCGCCAATTGCACTAACTTCAATGATTGAAAATATGTGACTAAAGATTATAAATAATTGAGTCGAAAAGCAATATTCATTCATTGTTTGAAGAATCTTTTTCTTTATTTTCACTTTACTTGTCTTGTGCTTTGACATCGATCAGTCTATTTGTGACTAATAGTGAATATAAAAATGAATGCATATCCTATGGAAACTCATGCATATTTAATCCTAAAGCTATGTGAAGAAGATATTAAAATTGAAGTAGTAGGAAACCTTTGTTTTCTTCAGATGCAAATTTGATGGGATATATGTCTCGTAAATATACGACAAAATTACATATGTCGTATTTAATACGTTAGTAAGAAATAATTATATTTGCTAGTTAAATAAAAAAAATATTCAATTGATGATTTACCTTATTTTGACTTCTTGCTCTTCTTTAAGAGTCATTGCCAATCGTCTGTCGCAAGTTAATTTATACGCACAAAACAAAATGGAAATTTAAAAAGTATATAAAATTTGTTGTAGAATATACACCTATTTTGGATCTTCTGCCACTTATTTGATAAGTATGAGCTTTTTAATAAACAAAGGTATCTGATATCCATTATTGATGGAAGATGAAAGATATTCTATAAAATTAATTAAGATGCAAAAAATGATTTGAATATTATAATTATTTTTTAAAAGTATACGAGCTTTTTAAAGAGCGCCTATTTCTTTTTAAAAATTATGGGTACTTGTACAGCTTTTTGTGACATTCATTTGACTATCACCAAAATAAATTTAGCCAAACTTAGTGATATACTTTCAGGTTAAATGTGACATGGCAGACCTATCACATTTTATGTAAGACTTTTATAAAATTTCGGCCGTATTTAAAGTATGTAATAATCAAAGCAAAGTAAGATGATTTTACGTGATAAAAATAAAAGAACATACTCCTTCGTTTAATAATAGTTGTCCATTATATTGAAAACGATTGTTTAACAATACTTATCTAATTTAAAAAACCAAGAGATAATTTACTTTTTGTGTTTATTTTACCTTTGCTATTAAATACTCCCTTTGCTCAACGATAGTTATTCTATTAACTTTGCACACTTCTTAAGAAACTATAAATGTAATGTCTTGAAAAATATAATAAAGAAATGACTATAATAACTGATAAGGGTAAATTGGGAACTAAGTGTAAAATTATCCATTGATTTCATAAAATGGACAAGTATTGTTGGATATTTCAAAATAGTATAGTGGACAACTATTGTTGGACGAAGGGAGTAGTTGCCTACCATACTATTTTGGGATGTCCAACAATACTCGTCACTTTGAATGAATAATGTTACACTTAGGGCTCGTTTGGTGTGAGGTATAGTAACAAATAGTCCCGGGATTAAATTATAGTACCGCTTATTTTGTTGTTTGGTTGGCAAGTTCGGGATAACTTATCCCGGGATTAATAATTAGTACCGGGATAAGTTATCCCTCTCCTTGGGTGGTATAGTAATCCCGGGATAACTTATCCCGGGATAAAATAGGTAAATGACAAAAATGTCTCTTTCAACCCTTTTGTTGTATCACTTTTTACATTAATGAAGGGCATTTTTGTAAACAAATAAATTGTTCTTAAAATTTATTATTTTGAATACAACAAACCAAACACTCAATAAAAAATAATCCCAACACAACTTATCCCATCATAACTAATCCCAACATAACTTATCCCAACATAACTTATCCCATCATAACTCATTTTCAAACCAAACGACCCCTTAGTTCCTAATTTATTCTTATCATTAATTATAGTCATTTTCTTATTACATTTTTCAAGACATTGTAATTATTATGTTCAAAGTGTGATATAGCAAAATAACCCTTCTATTTATAGTTTGTTAAAGATTGTGCAAAGTCAATAGTGGACAAGTATTGTTGGACAAAGGGAGTATATGTTTGTTTCTATCATTTTTACTATATAAAAAATTATCTTTAGCGGCAATTAATTAACGATAATAGCTTAATTGTCGCTAAAAATATATTTTTAGCAACATTTAACTCTATTTATAAATGTCTCTAAAGCATATAGTGACATGAATCTAATGAGAATTAACTACTGCTGATAAATATTTTGTCACTCTTTGTTAATATATATATTTATTACCGCTAAAAAAACTATTTTTGTTTTAGTCTTTGTAGACTATCCCTCACCTATATATAGATAAATTACTTTGATGTAGGCATATTATCCTTTTACATTACATAGTCAGCTCATAAGTTATATCCAATTTATTTATTTATTTTAAAAAATAGTCAGCCTATATACTAACATTTTCCCCACCTAGAGTTGCTAGAAGAAAAATTAAGAACGCAAAGAAAATTAGAAATAATTGATGGTAGACTTTTGCTAAGTTTCTAACAGCCAGACAAAATATTTGTATTTTATATTTACGTGTCTTTTGCTAAGTTTCTAACAGCCAGACAATATATGTGTATTTTATATTTATGTGTGTGTCTTTCTGAGTCTTAAATATATATATTCTCACCTTCGATATATATTGGTATAAATTATTAAACGTGATTTATTCCAAGTCTTAACCACGAGGACTCATTAGCTATCATAAACTTGGGCTTAAGTATGTCAAATGGATATTTTAATAAATTTAATTAAGTCGAACACTAGTTATTATATTTATATTTATATTAATATTCAATAAAAGATGAACTACTCCAGCTATAAACTACAAGAGTGAAGGAGATCACTAGTGACGCTAAAAATAAAAAATCATTCGAGCTACGAGCGTCATTAATGACGATACTTGAAAAAATTCGAAAAGTCAACCGCAATACACTCTCCAGCACATGTACATTGCATTTTTAACAAAATAGTAATAATAATATATTGGTAATACAATTATATTTTAACAGTTTTTATTAGTATTTCTTTTATTCAATATTTCAATCGGCTGATTTATGTCATTACTTATTTTTGAAAATTATTCCAATATACTCTTGAAATTGAAAAAATATTTGATTGATCTTCGGACGTTGTTTAAGAGATTCATAAATTTTAGCATAAGTAAAAAAAAAGTGATTGATTAAATAATTATTCAAAAAGGAATCATGGAAGAAAATATCCCATTCAATACGGCTTAATATAGTTGTTATTCACTATTCATTTTATTTGTCGGCTTTTTGAGAGTCAAAATTACATAGATATTGACTAATATTTCATACGTATTCTTTCATCATCATATTAATATGAGAAAGACTACAATTAATTTCAGACGTTACAATTCAAATCAAATTATATGAATTTTGATCAACAATTTTCAAGAAAGATTATTCCTACTTATAGTGTTTTTGGTATATCTCCTTTAAATATTTAATTTGAAAGATTAAATAAGTTAATTTAACTTTAAAAATTAGTCGATTCGAAATAATAGTTTAAAATAGTAGCACCAATCGTGCGAAGGCCTTTCATTCCTCATGACACTCAGGTCTCTTCCTCTATAAATAGCTCACATTTATGAGTTGTTTTTTTTATATAGTTATGAACTGTCTCAATATTTGTTGTGTGTTTTAATAGCATAGCAAGAAAAGGATAGTTTGAAGAATCATATCAGAAATCATGAGTTGTAAGAGTAAAACGACGATCCAAGAGAAACGCTATGGTTCTTTTCGGTCAGTTTTCATGCATGCCGATAGCGTCGATATCTTGTTGATGATTTTAGGATTTTTGGGAGCGATTTGCGATGGAGTTTCTATGCCTGTGATGCTTATAGTCACCAGCAAACTCATGAACAATCTTGGTAATAATGAATCTTCCAGTACCGATAGTTTCACGCATCATATCAATGAGGTATATATATCTCTTTTTCTGACATCGAACTTACATTTATCGTGTGAAGGATTAGTTTTCATCTGTATTACTAGACTGTAAGCCGTGACGATACCAATATGAACTAATGGTAACAAGAGATTTTTGTTTTGTTTATGTGATTGCAGAATGCTTTAGCTCTGGTTTACCTGGCATGTGGACAATGGGTCGCGTGTTTCTTAGGTTTGTCTAATTTCTTTTTGCTACTTTTCAACGATTCATATGGTTTCTACTTCATATTTATTTTTATTTTATTGGAGTTGGGGATAATAAGGTGAGAAAATGAACCCACACCAACAACCATAAAAATTGATATAATCAACTAATTGAACTATTGAGTGTATTTATTTTCAACTGAATTCAATTTTTTTAATGAGTCAAGTGATAAAAATATCAAGTTTAAACTTTCTCAAATTGGTTTAGATAACGATTTCTTTTATGTTTTATTAATTATGATATTCTTTTTAGAGGGATTTTGTTGGACAAGGACAGCAGAGAGGCAAGCGTCAAGGTTACGAATAAGATACTTAAAAGCAGTTCTAAGACAAGATGTGGGATACTTTGATCTACATGTTGCCAGCACCGCCGATGTCATTGCTAGTGTCTCTAGTGACAGTCTTGTCATTCAAGAATGCATTAGTGAAAAGGTTAGCTTAATTTTTCGAAATATATTGCTAACACAATTTTTTCGTTAGACAATGTTTTGCTATTAATTTCGTCACTAATATAAATATATAGGTACCAGTTTTCTTGATGAACGTAGCAACATTTACTGGGTCATATGTGATAGGATTTTTGATGATTTGGAAGCTGGCACTAGTGGGATTTCCCTTTATTATTTTCCTAGTGATACCAGGTCTTATGTATGGAAGGGCTTTAATGGGAATAGCAAGAAAAATCAGGGATGAATATGGAAAAGCTGGAATAATTGTGGAACAAGCAATTTCATCAGTAAGAACAGTTTATTCATTTGTTGGAGAAAATAAAACAATAGCAGAGTATTCTAATGCTCTTCAAGGAACAGTTGATTTGGGATTAAAGCAAGGTTTAGCTAAAGGATTGGCTATTGGAAGTAATGGCATTGTTTTTGCAATTTGGTCCTTTATGTCTTATTATGGTAGCAGAATGGTCATGTACAATGGAGAACATGGTGGCACCGTTTTTGCCGTCGGAGCTGCAATCGCCATCGGTGGACTGTAAGTATCTACTCGTTCATTTCATTTTATTTGTCTTACTTTGATTTATTCCACCTTTAAAAAGAGAGAATAAAATATCTTTTTTGTAAATATTTTTTTTCTTCGAAATCAAACAAACAAATTGAAATGATGGGGATACAGTATTCTTTTTCATTCACAATTGAAAGGATTTTCGCTAAGATTAGGGATTAACTCAATAGAGTATATATTTTGGGATTAAAATTTATTCTATATTTGATAGTGTGTATTAGATAAAACTTGAATAAACATTATGAAATTTTTCTCGATATTGTATTCATGTGTTATGATATAATGTTATTTTGAATCAAACAATCTCTTAAATAAATGAGTAGTTTTTTTTTGGAAAATATTTGTCCATCTCCAACCATACATTGAGAACGTATTTTTCAATAAAAACGAATTATATTTGAGAACATATTTTCGAAAAAAATATTCATCATATAACTAACACATTAAATTCAGGAAGTTATTTCAAACTTCAGAAAAATAGGACAAGTTGGATAAACCTCGGAAATGTGTGATAATTCAATTTTTTGGACTGTTATTTATTTCCAAATAAGGCAAATTCCTCAAAATTATTTATGTGCTCCGTAGTTTATGGTCGTGTTGTTTCATATGGTTTATCAGATTTTTGAGTAATTTATAAAACATGATTTATTTATTTTTTGCTGAACAGAGCATTGGGTTCTGGTTTGTCCAATCTTAAGTATTTTTCTGAAGCAAGTGCAGCTGGTGAACGTGTAGTGCAAGTGATAAAAAGGGTACCAAAAATAGATTCGGACAATATGGAGGGCCAAACATTGGATAACGTGACGGGTGAAGTGGAATTCAAACACGTTGAATTCGCATACCCATCAAGACCTGAAAGCATAATTTTGAATGATTTTAGCTTAAAAGTGCCAACGGGTAAAACCGTGGCATTAGTGGGAGGAAGTGGGTCGGGAAAATCTACCGTAGTAGCACTACTACAGAGATTTTATGACCCACTTGGGGGTGAAATTCTTCTCGATGGGATCGCTATTGATAAGCTGCAACTCAAGTGGCTAAGGTCACAAATGGGTCTAGTGAGTCAAGAACCTGCACTTTTTGCAACTACAATTAAAGAAAATATACTTTTTGGGAAGGAGGATGCATCTATGGAACAAGTAATTGAGGCTGCCAAAGCTTCTAATGCTCATAACTTCATCTGTCAGTTGCCTCAGGGTTATGATACCCAGGTGTGTGTTCCCTTTTATACTTTACCTTTATTTACTTTGTCCTTATCCTTACAAAATTGGCCATAGAATAATTGACCCGTCCAAATTTAAACTGGTTAGGTTAATGATTCATTTGTTGACTTAACTAGACGATGAATAGATTGAAAGTGAAATATTATTATATTAAAAAAATAGTGTTGTTACTACTTTCAATTACTATTTGACACACTAGCACGAAGGAATAGTATTCTTGTCTTTGCTAAAAATGTTATCACGCTGATTTCCACTTTGGCTTTAAGCAAGTCGCTGTTAATGGATAGTTTTGTTCCCACGATTAGAGTTTAAATGATTAATTCTTTAGTGTTGAAAGAATTTTAAAAGGCACTTAACTAATGCTTTATTGATTATAAATTAAATGTCCCAGTTCATCGAATTTTCTTAGCTATCATTTGCATGTTGTCAAACAAGTGGATTCTGCTGTGGAGTATGTCATCAAGTGGCTTTCACTGAATTAAACTAATCCAAAATTCTTTTTTTATAATGGTGCTGCAAACGTTTTGTCTCTCATTGTTAAGGACTTTTTTTCTCAATCAATTTAAAATTATTGCTTAATATGTTACAATTAAGTATATTCCGTTATTCCTATTTGGGACATCACAAACAACAACATACCCAATGGAGTAAGATGGAGTGTACACAAACTTTATCCCTACCTCAGAGGTAGAGGGATTATTTCTGTTAGACCCTCGGCTTAAGAAAAACAGTATTCGGGGAGAACACAAAATTACTACTACTAATTAGTTCTTAGTTGAATACTTCGTTTTTATGATTCATGATACTAGCAAAGGGTAGAATCTCTAAACTCAATGAAGTGCAAACAGCATTTTACTCAACTAAGTTTATACTACCATATCAAAACAAAAATTTACGAACCAAGAACTCATAAAGATTAAATCTTAGATCTAACTCTCTGTGTGCGTGCGTACAGGTGGGAGAGAGAGGTGTTCAAATGTCTGGGGGACAGAAGCAGAGGATAGCTATAGCAAGAGCCATAATCAAGTCACCCAGAATACTCCTCCTGGACGAGGCAACCAGTGCACTCGACTCTGAATCTGAACGAGTGGTGCAGGAAGCTCTGGACAAGGCCGCTGTTGGCCGCACCACAATCATCATAGCCCATCGCCTTTCCACTATTCGCAATGCTGACCTTATTGCCGTGGTTCAAAATGGTCAAGTCAAGGAAATTGGCTCACACGATGAGCTCATTGAAGACGAAGACGGACTATACACTTCCTTAGTCCGTCTCCAACAAACTGAAAACCCCAGTGATGAAATCTCAATTGCACCAACCAATAGAAACACAGTTTTTGCTCCATCAAATTTAAATTCTGGATTCACCTCTGACCATGAAGTACAAAATACAAGCAGCCGAAGGCTTTCAATTGTGAGCAGGTCGAGTTCAGCTAACTCAGCTGCGCAAAGCCGTAGATTTGATCAAAATGCAACAATTTCCAATACTCCAGAACAAGTTTTTCCAGTACCTTCATTCAAAAGGCTGCTGGCAATGAATTTGCCAGAATGGAAGGAGGCAACATTGGGATGCATAGGAGCAGTATTGTTTGGTGGAGTTCAACCAGTGTATGCTTTTGCAATGGGGTCAATGATATCTGTCTATTTCTTGCCAAGTCATGATGAGATTAAGGAGAAGACAAAGATATATGCTCTGTGTTTTCTGGGGTTGGCATTCTTTTCCCTTTTTGTCAATGTACTTCAGCACTATAACTTTGCAGCCATGGGAGAGAAATTGACTAAAAGGATCCGGGAGAGGATGTTGTCCAAGATGCTTACTTTTGAAATTGGGTGGTACGACAAGGAAGAGAATTCCACCGGTGCTGTTTGCTCTAGACTAGCTAAGGATGCCAATGTGGTACGTCCACTAGTACTGTTGTTTAACTTTCATACACGAACAATGTAAAGAAATTTTTATAGAATCAGGTAAGATCAAATGATAAAATTTGCTGGTTATACAAATGTGCAGGTGAGATCTTTGATTGGGGACAGGATGGCATTACTCATTCAGACGGTTTCTGCAGTGACTATAGCTTGCACCATGGGCCTAGTTATCGCGTGGAGACTTGCATGGGTCATGATAGCAGTCCAGCCTCTCATCATAGTGTGCTACTATTGCAAGAGAGTGCTATTGAAAAACATGTCTAAAAAGTCCATCAAGGCCCAAGAAGAAAGCAGCAAGTTGGCAGCTGAAGCAGTTTCCAATCTCAGAACAGTAACAGCCTTCTCCTCCCAGTCCCGGATTCTCCAAATGCTCAAGAAAGCCCAAGAAGGCCCACTAAGAGAAAGCATACGCCAGTCGTGGTTTGCTGGAATTGGGCTTGGCACTTCTAACAGTCTCATGACATGTACTTGGGCTCTTGATTTCTGGTATGGTGGCAAACTCATGGCAGAAGGCCTCATAGGAGCTCAGGCCCTCTTCCAGACATTCATGATATTGGTTAGCACTGGGCGTGTCATTGCAGATGCTGGAACCATGACTAATGATCTAGCAAAGGGTGCAGATGCTGTTGGGTCGGTCTTTGCAGTGTTGGATCGATATTCTTTAATCGAGCCAGAGGACTCGGATGGTTACAAGCCCAAGAAAATAACAGGCAATGTTGAGCTGTACGATGTGGATTTCGCATACCCTGCTAGGCCCAATGTGATCATCTTCAAAGGGTTTTCAATAAAAATCGAAGCAGGAAAATCAACAGCATTGGTAGGACAAAGTGGATCAGGAAAGTCCACTATAATTGGTCTGATAGAAAGATTCTATGATCCCTTAAGTGGTGTAGTGAAAATAGATGGCCGTGACGTAAGATCATACCACTTGAGATCATTGAGGAAACACATTGCACTTGTAAGCCAAGAACCAACATTATTTGCAGGAACCATAAGGCAAAACATAGCCTATGGAGCATCAGAAGAAGTGGACGAATCAGAAATAATTGAGGCTGCGAAGGCAGCAAATGCACATGATTTCATCTCAGCATTAAAAGACGGATATGAAACTTGGTGTGGTGACAGGGGACTGCAGTTGTCAGGAGGACAAAACAGCGAATTGCTATAGCACGTGCAATATTGAAAAATCCAGCGGTGCTATTATTGGATGAGGCAACAAGTGCATTGGACAGTCAATCGGAGAAAGTAGTGCAAGATGCACTTGAGAGAGTGATGGTTGGGCGGACAAGTGTGGTGGTGGCACACAGGCTAAGTACTATACAGAATTGTGACACAATTGCTGTATTAGACAAAGGCAAAATTGTGGAGAAAGGGACTCACTCTTCTTTGTTAGCTAAAGGACCCAGTGGAGTTTACCACTCTCTTGTTAGCCTTCAAAGAGCACCAAACTCTAACAACACCTTCATCAGCTAATCTCATCATCAAATGATATGGGTTGATAATCCCCAATAATCTTGAAGCTAAACAACCTCTTCTTTTTCCTTGTTTTCCTACTTTCCCAAACAACTCTTTGGGAGATTTGTTGGCTGTTTGGAAAACTTTGTCCCATTTTAATGTATATATATTTTGGTATTGTTAGCAAATAGCAATACATTTAATTTAACTTTCTGTTTCATCTTGTAAGAGAAGAGCTTCATAGATAAATTTTTCGATCAGTATTAAAGGTAAAATCTTACGACCTTAATACTAAAGACCCCAGAAGGCCAGAAGAGACTAGAAGTCCGGCATAGTGAAACGTATTAACAACTTAAACACTAATCAAGTAAGAACAATTGTCATCATTGAAACAAGTTACGCTAAAAACAGGAAGGGGAAATGCAGAGAGAGAAGCAGCCAACAAAGTTCTAGGATCCAGAGGAATAAAGTCTCGCATAATGTTATTAGCTGAATCTTGAGAGATCGAAAATCAGGATTTTCACGATTTCAGTGCCTCTTATGGATTTGATGTCAATACGAAGCAACAGAAAACATCATCCATACAACCTCAAATAGCTTCTGCTTTCGATAGCTTCAGGAACCAATATTAGATTGGTAAAAGCTATCAGCCACACATCAAATCCTAACTCAACAATGTAAGTCTGCTAAAATCTCAGCTTCAGACTGCGTACTCAGAAGTCAGAATTCTAACACCAATACAGCTTCACACAAGGATGAATCCTCGGTGGCACATTTGCAAAAGTAATTCACAACTACCACCACCTTTTCACTTAAAACTATCTCATAGAATCTTCTTCATGACCCTTCACAAAGGGTTTTCCTTTCATTCAACAAAGATATCAATTCAATAGTTAAAAACATCCACCTCCACAGAGGATTTCGGACAATCACCAATAGAACGTAGTATTTGATTGGAAAATAGATTTAGCATCATTTAAGAATTAAGATATGCTAAAGGATGATCTTCAATTTTCCAGATTTGGATCACTAAATAGAAAATTATCCTCAATCTGTTAGACAACCTTGGAAGTACATACATTACCACAACTATAGTTCATAAAACAAAAGAGCATTATATTACCACAGAAAATGAAAAATACAAGCCAAAAGAGAAACCATGAATTCAACTTACTACTTTCTGTTGACCCTTTTCAAAATCTTCTATCAGAAGGGCGTCAACATTTTCTTCGGGTTCCCAGGTAGCCTCCTCAATATCAGTCCATTTAACCAAGTATTCTCCTTTCCCGTCCTCGCCCTCTCTCTTCTCCAAGATGCACTCTGCCTCTGCATATTCCAATCCAGCCTCAAAATCTCTCACCAAATCCTCAGATATCAGCCATGCTTTGACCCATTCATTATCCTCCCCATCCTTCCATTTCACTAAATACTCGACATTTTCACCTTTCCCTCTCTTCTCCAATATCTCCTCCACTTGTGCATACTCAAAAATTGCATCCTCCAATACCCTAATAACATTCTCTAATCCCAATCCCCTCGCGAATTGCATTGGGTTTCCTTTAGGTGTTTGATTCAAGACCATCCTCGCTAAGCTCAGCGGCGTCTGCCCTCTGTAATCCTGCACCTCGGGGTCTGCGCCGAGCTCAATTAACAGCTTAGCGACCCCAGGCTTCACATAGCCGGCAGCCATATGCAGAGCCGTCAACCCGCCGCTCCTATCGCGGTAATTGACGTCGGCGCCGGCTTCAGCAAGCAGCTTGACGCAAGGCTCCGACCCGAGTCCCGATACAAAGAGAAAAGCTGTTCGTCCATCGTCATCAACAGCATCCACATCCCTGCCGTCCTCAGCTTCGATAAGTTGCCGAAGAGCCGATTCGTCGGGCTTTTTCGCCGCGTTCCACCAAGGGGTTTCGTACTCAGCGACAACGTCTTGAGCGATGAAATTAGAGGGAACCCAGGTAGGGGCATGTTCATCTTTCCACTCAATCAAATACTCCATTCCTTTCCCACCTTCAATTGCTCGACTCCCAATGATTTTGTTAACTTCTCCATACGTTTCGTCGGCATCGTAATCTTCAAATTCTTCTCGTCCTTCTTCTGCTACTGCTGCTGCTTGTTGCTGCTGGTTCTGAAGCGTGGCAAATACAAGTGGTAAATTATTACTACTATTCAGTTTTTTAAGTGGGAGATAAGACTGATGGGGCAGGGGAGAGAAGGTAGGGAATTGAGAAGAGAATTTGAGTTTGAGTCGGGAGAGAGATGAATTGACAAAGAGAGCATCCATGGGAGAAGTGGGAAGGAGATGTTCTGGCGCTGTTTCTTTTGAATGGCCATGAACATCTCCATAATCCTATGAGAAGGATGCCGTTAGGATAAGATAGTATATCTATTCACTTCAGTAAATGACTGAGTTGGCGTTTACTCAAACTGACCAATCCTGGTATATGGAGAAAATTCGGTTGGTAGCGTCATCACCCATGAATATGTCCTACAGAGTGCTATTCGAATTTAGTTGGAGAATTTCAGTTATCGGATGGGAAATAAAAAAAAACAAAAAAAAAACTTAAATACACAATTTTAAGTTCTTTATTGTCTATTTTTCCCTACTTTTTTAAAAAATTACTTAAATCCCTTATTTCACTTAAATATCAAAACTGTTAGATACATAATTCACTTTTACATCCCACGTTCACCACTCCCTATGTCACTCCTTCTTTTTTCTCCCTAAATTCACTCCAATATCTTTTCAGTTACAAATCATTATCCCAAATTGATTTTCAAAAATTTTCTCTCTCAATCCAACCAGTTTCAAACTTCGTTTTCTCCGTCCTCTCTCCCAAAGTTTGTCATATTAATTTTCATCTTTTTCCTTCCATTTTTATTTTGTTTCGGTTTTTTCTTCTTGATACATATGGATCCAGATCCTACATCAAATCTTTCTATTACTAATCGAACAATATACAACTCTAGTGATGAAAATTGGACAGAAATTAGATCAAAAATTCTGCATGACCCATTAAACTTGAGGAATCAGTTGAACAAAGATATGCCAGAATCATCTAAATCAAAGGTTGCAAAAATCCACCCAAAAAAGGAGAAGAAAAGCGGCACCCGCTAGTTTCAGACCTTCATTGCCTAGATTATGTGTTTTTAATCTTTATTAAACTTGTTTGTGATTTATTGTGTTTGTTATCTTAGACTGAAATTTAATTACATGTGTTATATTGTTTATTGGGTTAAAATATGATACATGCAAAAACCCTATCTTAGTTTGATACATACTGATTTGAGATTTAGTCGGCACTAATAAAATCCTTGTTTTATATGTGTATCGAAAAAAATGATACATGAAAAATCCTAATATGAAAAAGATGTTAGTCAAATTTAACAAAAAAGTCGTTGATGTATCAGACAGGGCATCCTTCTGTATAATGTATCAAGTTTTATAATAAGTTCAACTAACATTGATGTATCGAACAATTGAAGTCTGGTAGCATGTATTTTTTTTATGTATCAACTTGTTTTTAATATGTATCATTAGTTGTTGTGTAGTATGACTTGGTGTTTTTATTTATGTATTATAAGATATCATTATAAATAGTATGATTTTTCTTTTCATTTTGCAGTCAATCAAATATGTTATAAAAAAGGTACCAACACATGCCATAAGGTTTGGTGTCCCTTTTAACACAATTTTTTTGGAGGAGTTCCAGAAGTCTATATGGGATGATGTAATTGAACTGTTCAGAGCTACAATTTTTGGACCCTGTTTAGACATCCCTAAATGTAATTTTCAGGGTCAAATCAGTAAATGTTTGTTGCTGTTAGAGTTAGAACAAGACAACTCAAAGGTGTTGCATATAGACATGCAAACGGGGGTATCTTGAAATTTAGTACCAAAGAATTTGCAATAATAACTAGTCTTAAATGTAAAGGCAATACCAAAGACTTTGAATACCCAGAATCAACTCCCCGTATGCTATTCCAAAAATATTTTCTGCATTGGACATGTATGTTCACTATTGAAGTATCTAACTTTGAAAATACCATATTTTTTCCTACATGATGCCTTCATAGTCCAACCACATTAATCCGAAAAGCATACCAACACATAATTACATGTTATAATATATAAAACACCAATGTTCAAAGTAATCAAAGAATAATGTGCTTTTCAAAGACCAACACAATTAATTTAGTGTATTTTTTGTATCAGATTCAAAAAATAATAATTATTTATCCACGTATCACAAAATTTTGGAATGTATCGGCTACATGATTGTTGGGACTAAACTATTTAGTGTTTCAACAGTATTATCTTAACGTATCAACAATATTAACTCAATGTATCAACAATATTAACGACCAACACAATTAATTTTTATCAGATTCAAAAAATAAATAAATAATGAATCATGTATCACAAAATTTTAGAATGTATCGGCTACATGATTGTTGCAACTAAATTCTTTAATGTTTCGATAGTATTATCTTAATGTATCAATGCTATTAACTTAATGTATCAACAAATAATGTATTATTATCAATCTATCACAAATCATATTCAACAAACTAAACAAAAATCAAAATCAAAGACTTTCTAATTAATAATGTATCATACATTAAAACAAAATAATTGTATCACCATTTACAAATCTAAAGAAACCAAACATAGTTCTTCACAAAACATATCAAATACTCACATACCTTTGTCTATCAGATCTCTTTACTTTGCAATTGAAGTTGTTCTTTATCTTATATTTCGCCATCACATCTACGAGTGTTGTTTTATCCTTATTGTCACGCCCCAAACTCGAGGGGCGCAACTGAATCCTAATGCAAAAACTCAGGCCCGAGCCGACCCTGCTGAACCATTTGCTACTAGCGCATGACAGCCACACGCAATTAAGAAAACAAACAAGTATATCTCGACTTAAAACTAAGCCCTTGGCCGGCAAGACCCCTGCCAATTAATCTATAAAATAAACAGCTACTCCCAGAAGATCATATAAATAAATAGCCAACTAGTACAGAAGTTCTGATTGGGCCGTTGAGGCCACCATGATATTTATACGAAAACTAAAAGCATGTATATATCAATACAATATATCAAACAGCTCACAAGCTTCAGTAAATCGACAACATAGGCCAGTATGGCCATAACATAGCTATACACCCCACACACTAGTCTTCAATCCTCTAAGAGTAGTAAAGATTAGCGAGACAGGGCCCCAGCCTACCTATAAAGATATATACAACAAAAGATAACAAATCTCCCAACTCTGGCAGCTCTAGAGGAAAGGGGCTAGCCAACCGGATAAAAGCCAATCCTGCTGCTGAAGAGGTCTACTCGATCATCTGTCAGGACCTGTATGCATGAATGCAGCGTCCCCAAGGCAATGGGGTGTCAGTACAAAATAATGTACAGAGTATGAAAGACAATAAACTATGAGGAGATATCCTGATATACTAGAATAATCTGATAAATAAATCAAGGATAAGATAAGTGTACTGACCTGCTCCTAAATCTAAACTTATCAAAAATAATAAAACAACAACCTAACCAAGCCCCTATAAGCTTGGCAGGTACAAACAACACACAAGACCACATACTCAGGCACCCATAATCTCAGAAGGCTTTATCGGTAGTTCCATTGCCTCGTAGGTAGTCACATAGCCCTCTTAGGCATTAATATAGTCCCGTAGGCAGCACATAGCTCTCTTAGGCATCAACATAACTTATAGACAACTCATATCCCTCTTAGGCAACAACATGACTCTGTAAGAAACACATAGTTTTCATAGGCGTCAATATAGCCCTGTAGGCAACTCATAGCCGTTTTAGGCATCCATATAGCCCTGCAAGCAGAACATAGCTTGTTTAGGCATAGGCATAGATCACATTCCTGCGGCTAACCACAATAGCACCCCCCTTTCTCACCTGCAACAAAGGAGGTGGTGACGCCCCAAGGGCAACAATAACAATCCAATCGCTAAAAACGAGCAATTTAGTTATAAGCAACCTATACAAATAGCCTCTAAGTCGTGTCCAACATAGGGACACTACTAACTGAATAAGAATCCTGACAAAGGAGGATTATATCAACTCGAGCAGCCAACAATCAACAATAATGGCTACAAGTGTAACATGGATGACAACTCAATTACATTGCTTCTAAGCTTTAAGGAAACATGTCGTAAGTAGGGAATAGTCTTAACATACATTTTCAATGAACGCTCGAAAGACCGTAGTTCCTTTACGAAAGTTGTTCCTTATGTCCTAAGTTTCGCAAACACTATATATACACAGCTGGTACGAACCTATAAACAGTTCATAATTAATCTTAAATCGGAAGATTTGTCATATTTCCCCAACTTGTCGAAACGTCCGTAGAAATTCATAAAAACAACCATAAAAGGGTCCTGAGATTATTACCTTAGTTAACCAAGTGTAAACCTTAAAGAAACACCAATAACTACAAATTATATCTTCAAAAAGAAGCTCCAGACACAGCTAATAGAAAGGAAAAATGATTACGACGTGTAGGGATTACGTTTCTAGGCATGGGGGCAATGTTTAATGGTAGAAATCATTAAAAACTATCCTTCATCATGCTAGAACTCCATAGGAACCCTCTCTTAAGCTTTCTCTCTGGTTTGGAACTGAAATGAAATATTTTCATGGCTTAAAACGTTAAATAAGCCGACATACCATATTTTTGACCTGACCCGGATCCGACTCGGATTCTGCCTCGGCAGTCCCTAGTAAAACCCTCATAACCTTTTGCTCTGATGTCAATTTGATACGGGGTTTTATGCGTTGCAAACTAGACTCGTAGGCATTCGATTTAATGGGTGGTAGGCCTTCTAACTCTTTATATATTGGGAGAAAACATCCAAGACATTTGACCCAAATTTTAGAGAAATCTTTAAAAAGGAACTTACGATAACTTTCGCCAACTTTTATTTCGCCACTTACTTAACTTCTAAACTTAAGATACAACCCTTGAACACTTAAAATATGACATACCACATCATTTTTTATTTATTACTCACCATTCTTGTCTTTTCACGAAGATACGAGGTAATATAGACGTTTTGAAAAGTCGAGGTGTTACACTTATATACCTGACTTGTCTTCACCTCTATACTATTTGAATCAATTATGTAATTTGTAACTTCCAATCTAGAATATAATACGAATCACAAATTCTTGATTCAACCACCGCAAGAGCTTTTGTATCATGTGTTGTGCCTTCTACACACGTAATTTCTCTGCATATTCCATCAAAGTTATGTAGATCACCGCCAATCTCTTCACTTGTGTCAATGCATAATGGATACATTGCAAATCCTGGCTCACTTTTTTTCACTTTTAAATATAGTTTAACACCCATGTCGTTCTTAATTTTCATCGGAGACGAGTTACCTTCTACGATGTAACAAATTTCAATGTTTTTCCTTGATACATCGATATCTAACTCGACTGAAATTGTTGCTTTGAGATTCAAAAATGAAATTGATTGTCCAACAACGATTCCATCACTTTTGTAACTTTCATATTTCACTTCGCTGATCCAAATTCCTGAATGCCTCAGTATATAAAATTGAAATATTCATCATGTATCTGCAAAAAATTAGAGTTTTATTCGAATTTCTCAATTTTTCAAAATTGATGGATGTTCACAAATTGTTCTTCAATGTAGAAGATATAATTTTGAAATTTGTAATGTCTGAGTCGATTACCTATTAAGATATGGATTGTTTAGGATCAGTTAGGCATAAATCAAGCTAATTAAATTAACAGAATTAATTATTACGTTTTTTTTCCTCTTTTAGCGCAACAATAATATGTTTACCTTGTATAAGTTATAATGTATCGGAATGGTAGCATTCACCTACCTTTTTAAGGGATATTTTGTAAAATGGAAATTAGTTGGGATAAGATGTAATTTATATCTTACACTATGGGATTTCTTTAATTTTAACAAAAAAAACTGCTGTAACTTTCTATCCACGCCCGAACAAGTTAGGCATCTTCAAATGGTCGAAGGTCGCAGTGATAACTTTTTTTTTTAAACATGTCTTGAGCTCGAGTCTTGTGCTACAATATGAATTTAAAATTAATTTCACTCCAATATCAAATGAAAAATCAAAGAAAATTATAAATAGTTAAAAAGTTCTTTACCATAAACGTTGTTTATTTTTTGTTAATATCTATTTAATCTGCTTATGTACATAAATATTTTAATTTTCTATGTTTCTATTTAATCTACTTATGCTTATGTTCATAATATTTTAATTTTCTATGTTTTAGGTGAGAGAATCTAGGAAAAGAATGATATAGGACATTTAGAATTTTATAAATTTTCACCTCTTATAAACCTAATTCATTTCATTTACTAATTTTATAGATTTTATTTTTTTTGTTATAAGTACTTGTATGAAATTCAACCTATTACATCAAGTCAACGCACAAGTCAAAGGAAAGGGCAACTATAGAAAAAATTTGAAATATTCATCTTAAACTTTGAATAATTCAATTATTTTGAACAATAAAAAAAATCTTAAAAATTCAGTTAATATGAAATAGAAATCATTGGATTCTGGTGAAAAAATGAGTTGCATTTATATAGAGAAAAAAAGAAATATTTGATATTTTAAGAAAAACAATTAATGATTAATAAGATATGGATTACACTACTTTGACTTTCTAATCATTTTTGGTGTAAAGAAATAAGTGATATTTTACAATAAAAACAGTAAAACTACAAATGAGTTGCAGATATATGGTGAAAAAAGAATTATATGATATTTTAAGAAAAATAATTAATGATTAATAAGATATGGATTACACTACTTTGACTTTCAAATCATTTTGGTGAAAAGAAATATGTGATATTTTACAATAAAAATAGTAAAACTACAAATGAGTTGCATATATATGGTGAAAAAAAGAAATATATGATATTTTAAGAAAAACAATTAATGATTAATAGGATATGGATTACACTACTTTGACTTTCTAATCATTTTTGGTGAAAAGAAATAAGTGATATTTTACAATAAAATAGTAAAACTACAAATGAGTTGCATATATATGATGAGAAAAAAAAATTATGATATTTTAAGAAAAAACAATTAATGATTAATAAGATATGGATTACACTAATTTGACTTTTTAATCATTTTTGGTGAAAAGAAATAAGTGATATTTTACAATAAAATAGTAAAACTACAAATGAGTTGCATATATATGATGAAAAAAGAAATATATGATATTTTAAGAAAAAACAATTAATGATTAATAAGATATGGATTACACTACTTTGACTTTTTAATCATTTTTGGTGAAAAGAAATAAGTGATATTTTACAATAAAATAGTAAAACTACAAATGAGTTGCATATATATGGTGAAAAAAAGAAATATATGATATTTTAAGAAAAACAATTAATGATTAATAAGATTTGGATTACACTACTTTAACTTTTTAATCATTTTTGGTGAAAAGAAATAAGTGATATTTTACAATAAAAATAGTAAAACTACAAATGAGTTGCATATATATATGGTGAAAAAAAAGAAATATATGATATTTTAAGAAAAGCAATTAATGATTAATAAGATATGAATTACACTACTTTGACTTTCCAATCATTTTTAATTCAACAAATTGAATCAAGTCAATATATAGTCATAACTTGAGTGAATGACTAAAAATATTAGAGAAAGACTAAAATACCCCCAAAGTTTGACCAACATCATACGTTACAAGAATTTTATATTATATATATGTGTAGTCTCGTTACTATCTACACACCATTTTTTTCTCGAAGTAGAGAAGGTATAGAGAGAAAAATACTAGGGTTCAGCCATTTCTAATATTTTTCCCTTTGTTTGAATAATTTGTATGGTTAAATGGGTAATTCTTTTTATTGATTAATTCTTAATAAAGATTTTATTTACTAGCACAACTTTTTGTTGCTGTACTATTTTTGCAGCATGGTCCGATTGAGAGTAGATGTATCTGGTGGTAAGGAGAGATTTAAGCGGCCAATCAATTATTCTCGTAGAGAATCGTAAGCTCTGTTCACTTCCTCAATTGTTTTGATTTGTTGAGTTCTTATTAAGAAATTAGTGTTTTAATTTAGGTTAAAAGCCAAAAATAAAATAAAATTGGGCTGGATAATCTCATTTTTGGTAGCTATGACTACTTACTTATGGTATAATTATGATGTATATGTATTTTTTTTTTCCTCTATGAATTAGGCATGGTCCATCACCTTTTCTTGAAAATGGAGCATTGGGCAGCCGCAATGCTGGCAGAGGGCTAACTTTTCTTGGCCCTTGTAACCCACATCTGACAACCGAGGATGCGTTGTCTTATTTGAAGGAAGTTAAGGACACGTTTCAAGGCAGAGAGAAGTATGATGTGTTCCTTGATATTATGAAACATTTTAAGGCTCAAAGGTTTGTTACCACTATTTACCTAGTGTCATGATTCTCATATTTGTTGTTTTATCCGTGACTTATTCCATTTTCTTGACAGAATTGATACTGTTACTGTCATAGCAAGAGTGAAAGACTTGTTCAAAGGGCACCCTAGGTTGATCACTGGGTTCAACACTTTCTTGCCCGAGGGTTATACAATAACTCTCAATCAAGAAGATAAGCCTAGAGTTGAATTTGGAGAAGCTATCAACTTTGTGAACAAAATAAAGGTTACATTCCTGCTACCTTCCAGTTTAAACAATAAAGGTCTGCCTTTTTCTTCTTTAAAACACTTTAGTCCTAATTTATTTGGTTTATCATTTCCTGCAGACGCGTTTCCAAAATGATGATCATGTCTACAGATACTTCCTAGACATATTGAACATGTATAGGAAAGAGCATAAGGGAATCAATGAGGTGTACCGAGAGGTAATAAATTTTTTTAAAAAAATTGGAATACATAGATATTATAGATGATCTTTATGTTTTAATTTTTTGTTTCTATTTGTCACATCATATGTGTAGATTGCCGTACTTTTCAATGGCCATCCAGATTTGCTAGATGAGTTCACTAGGTTCTTGCCAGATACTAAGAAGGAAGTAGATCTAAGCAAGCAGCAGCATCCTGGTAAAATGAATTCTTTTGGAGAGTTTGAAGATACCCTGAAATGTGAGTTCATGGTTAGCATTGTTTGAATATTTGTATTTGATGTGCTGCATTAGAATCTTCCACTATTAGCTATTTGGTTTGTGGTGACAATGATCTATTAGTAAGTATGTATTAATTCATTTTTCAGTATATCTCTCTTTGTTTTTTGGTAAAGTTCTTGGTTTATGCATTTGATTTTAGCAGAGTTGCTGAGTTTGGTTAGTATGCTTTTTAATATGATTTACTTGATCTTGTCAGATTCGTGTAGCAAAGGGTTCATTTTCTGTGAAAGGGTAAAGGAAAGACTACAAAGTCCAGCTGATTATCTGAAATTCTTAAAATGTCTCCATATTTACAGCACAGAAACGATTGCAAGGAACAAGTTACAAAGTTTGGTACGTCTATCATGCTATTAATCAAGCCCTTTTGTTCCAAAGTGACATTTATCTTTGTTTATAATATTTGCTATCTGTGGTTCGGTTTTTGGCCAACAAAAGGGAGAAGAAACAGGGGTACTGAATCCTGTTTTTACAGGATTTGGTGGTTCTAATGTCTTTTAAATGATATACAAGTCGATCTTCTTGTTGTTTAAGCATCATTAATTTGAAGCATGCTACCAATTTCAGGTTGCTGAAATAATTGGAAAATATCCTGATCTTATGGAGGGTTTCAATGAATTTCTGGATCGATATGATCGAGTTGGTAAGTTAAAATTTCATGATGGTAAAACTGTTGTGCCATTTTTATTGGTTTCTGCTTTGCAGTTGGATTACTTGCAGGTGTAATGAGCCTCAGAAAGTCTTGAATAATTTTCCACTAGGATTTTGTTACAAGTACTTTACATTACTAAACAAGATGACAATTGAAATTTCGTAAAAACAATCTCCAACAAGACATATCAGAATTCGTCATGATTAATATTCTATTAGTATGTCGCTAAACGTTCAGTCTGTTTGACTCCGTTTTTGGTTAAGTTCTTGATGTATGCATCTGTTTTTAGCATAGCGTTGCTGAGTTTGGTTAGTATGCTTTTTAATAGGATTTGTTTGATCTTGGCAGATACATATACAAAAGGGTTCACTTTCTGTGAAGAGGTAAAGGAAAGACTAGGAAGTCCAGCTGATTATCAGACATTCTTAAAATGTCTTAGTGATTACAGCGGAGAAATAATTACAAGGGAGCAGTTACAATCTTTGGTACGTGTATCATCATGCACCTAATCTTATCTTTGTTGCTCCTATATGACAGTAATCTTTGCTTATAATTTCTGCCATCTATGGTTTGGTTGATGTTCATGCAAATCATAGGCTAGACCTAATGTTTTTAACAGGATTTTGTGGTACTAATATCTTTTAGATGATGTACAAGTCGGTCTGTTTGTTGTTTAAGCATCATAGATTTAACTACTCATTTCAGGTTGCTCAAACACTTGGAAAACATCCTTGTCTTATGGAGCGTTTCAATGTATTTATAGATCGTTATGAACGAGCTGGTAAGTCTTTAATGAATTCTGTCACACACACAATACATATACATATATATATGTAAGATTCTAATTTGAAAGGTTACACTGCTTTGCAGTTGGATTTCTTGTAGGTGTAATGACTAAGTGGAATGAATCCAAGTTAGTAAAGGAAGAAGAGAACAAGTGTAAAAACTGAGGCTCCTTCAACTTATCAAATAAAACAAGAAAATGAGGCTCGTCCACAGGGAATTAAGTTTGAAGAAGCTGCCAGTTTTGTGGAGAAAGTAAAGGTTATTCTCCTACCTTCTTTTCTTCTAAATTCATAAATAATTTATTGTTGTCTAATTATATAAAAAATATGCATTATTTTCCAATTTAAAGTTGAGTTCCAGGATAAATTACGCTGAAACAATCTTAATTATAGTGATTAGATTATTAATTAGTCCATATCAATTAAAATACCTTCAATAGTTGCGGAAAGTAATAATATTTTTCTAGAATCATGTTAGCTAGATCTCTCAACTATTGTTATTTCACCTACAAAGCCATTCAATCAATCCAAACTATATCTCTTGAATTTTTTTAAGCATAAATTAGTTGACTTTGTATGAAATTGAAATAGTTGAGTGATTTTTCTATTACAAAAACGTAACAAAGTTGATTAACTTTCTGAGGTTATTACAAATAGTTGAGTGATAAAAATGTTTTGTACCATAAACTATTCGCTTACTATAAGAGTTAGTAATGAGGCTTTAATGTTAATAGGTATAGGCACTTACCTAAGAGTTGGAGTGCTTGGTCCTATTTGTTAAGTATATGATTTAAGTACATCTTTTTAGTCAACATCTGTGGGGGCGATAATGGAGTTATTGCTTAAGGCTTTATTTTAGTAATGCCATATTTTACAAAATCAGGATTATATAATTTGGTATACATGTCCAGTCTCACGCTTTTTATTAGACAGATAGATAAAATATGAGTGCTAACTTACTTGTTGGGGTTGTCGCTTTGTGCAGGAACGTTTCCGAAACGACAACCATGTGTATGAATCATTCTTAAACATTTTGAGGATGTACAACATGGAGAGCTATGATGTCTACCATAAGGTGGTGATAAAATATCTTTCAATTTGGATACACAAATTATATTAGATGATTGATCTTCATGTTTTAACTTATTACTACTTCTTTTATGTGTAGGTTGCTATACTTTTCAAGAATCATTCAGATTTGCTTGGTGAGTTCGCTAAATTCTTGCCAGATTCTTCAGCTGATTTCAAGCTTAGGGAACGTATTTGATCAGTTAACCATCCGCTTTAGTTCCTTGTAATAGTGTGATTGGTATGACTAAAGCTTGTGAAGGAGTTCGACTTGATGTTATTCATGGGTTTCTTGGAAATTTTTCTTCTGTTTCTAATGACTAGAGATTCAGTTTTATTGGCAATGTAAAATGTTGGTACTATATGGTTTTTTTTAATAATATCATCTTCCCTTAGCAAATTAAGAAAAAAATCATTCAAGGTTGAATATGTGCTTCTATATCTGCAACCTATGGGATAAAACTTGTTGAAAACAAAGTCATATCATTTAGAGTCATATCCTCTATACGTGGTAAATATGACGAATCAAGGAGGCGAAAAAAGCGTGAAATGAAAATATTTAAAAAGGAGAATGCTATCGTTGCTTCAATATAATATATCAAATTGTTTATTTAACAATTTAGATTATTGTATTTAATTATTTGTCGTTAGTTTTCATCTAGCCCCCATTTATAGGATATTAAGAGCCTGTTTGACATTTTTGTTCGTAGGTTAGAAACACTTATTTTGAGAAAAAAATACTTTTATTGAAAAATTAAGTGTTAAACAAATCAGTAAAATATTTTTCTTGCTTTAAAAAGAAAAAAAAGTAGAAAAAAATTTTATTTTTCTCAAGACTAAAATATCCTTTTCATATATACATATTTACATATTTCCCAATATATTTCTTGTTAATTAATTAGCATATTTCATAAGTTTGGTTAAATTTCATTTAAGAATTTTATTTTTTATTTTATATAAAAAAAATCATAATTTATTTTATGTTTATATATTATTATTTTATATATTATATATTATTTTACGTACTATTTTGTAGAATTAGAAAAAAGGTAACAATAACACTTTTTCAAGATTAGAAAAAATAAGGAAAAAATAACAATTAAAGATTTCAGCCTCCCAAAAAGGGTATAATATTGATTGAAAATTTAAACATGTAAATTTTAATTTAAAAAAAAATAAAATTTAATTTACTTTTTATAATAGATATTTAAAATAGTTTTTCTCTATAAAATAATTTCAATATTAAAAGTACATTAATAGTTGTTCTTTTTTGTAATTTGATTCTTAAAAGCATTTTTTAAAAATTAATTAGTCAAACACATTTTGCTAATGAAAAACACTTTACAAATGAATTAGCCAAACACGAATTGTTTTTTTTCAAAAGCACTTTTTTAAAAAACCATTTAAAAAGTGCTTCTAAAATTAAGTTGTTTTCAGGAGTTCGGAGCCAAAAGGGCAATTTTTTTCTTTCAAAAAACAAAAGCAATACATCAAAAAAAAAAATTAACCAAAAGGGAAAAATCACTCCGTCTTTTGACAAAAATTAACGCCGTACCGTTAAATGAAATATAAATCGCTGCCTTGACAACGATTTTCTAAAAAAAAAGGTCTTTTTTCTTTAAAGTAACTGCTATAGCAGCTTTTTTATATAAAAAAATAAAATAAAAGGAAAAAAAATTCTTTTTAAAAAAATCGTTATGGCAGCGTTTTAATAAAAAAATTAATAAAATTTTGAAGTTGCGATTTTTTTAAGAAGTTATTTTTTAAAAAAAATTGCTACCCTTTCAGCGATTTGATAAAAAAAATTAAAACTCCAAGGCAGCTGATTTTTATTTCTTTTAACGGAATGACGTCAAATTTTGTCAGAAGAAAATCGCTCTGTCGGAAACGATTTTGCCTTTTTGGTTAAAAAAATTTGATATGCCTTTTTTATTTTTTGAAAGAAAAAAGTTGTCCTTTTGATTCCGTACTCCTATTTTTAGCAGCAATGTCAAACAAACTCTAAATTTTGATTATATGTGAACTATGAGGTATAAGTTATTTTCCTTTGTTTTATGTTTTGTGCCTATGTTAAGGGTTCTAACATAATCAAATATTTTCACCAGTATGGTGACAAAACTGGGACATAACTTGTCCAAGTTTGGAACAACTCTTTCGAATTTTTTTTAACTCAATCTATTTCAATACAAATCATTTCACCTCATACAAATTGGATACAAAATCCTGTCAAAACTATTTTCTAAAATATTTTATTTGTAAAAGAATAAATAAAATAATTGAAATTTAATAAAAATTGAGCAAATTGAATTATGACCCTCATTCTAGTCCTATCAAGTTAAAATATCTTGTTGATTGTAATAAATAATAATAATAATAATAATAATAATAATAATAATAATAATACATTTTGACCCAATTGTATTCAGCACAATCCACCGATTTGACACATTTGCTCGCCAAGTAATGTTGAATAAAGTTAGACTTTAGATCATTTAGTCATTTGAAGTGAATTGCATTGACGGCTAATTTATCACATCACCAAAAAAATTACTAACAACCATTCAATTTGATTTGGCGAAAATCATTTAAATAAATCTCATACGTCATTTAATTCATTATTCTTGAATAATTATTATATATTCCCTCTATCCTAATTACATGTCTACTTTTGAATTGACACATCTATTAAGAAAATAATGATTAACATAGTGAATTTATCATTTTACCCCTATTAATTATAAAGTAGATTAAAAAATTTAAGATTTTCAAGAAGTTTTATCTTTTCCAAAATTAAATAATTAAGGGTATAATAAATAATAAAATTGCTCTTTTTTTATTTGTCAAAATGGACAAGTAAAAAAGAAAAAATAGACAAATTATGAGGGACAGAGGGAGTATAATCTAATTCCTCTTCACAAAAATTGAAGTATAATTTCAAAATAGTCTTAGGACTTTGTCGTATACCACAAAAAATATTTTTTCATTTGGAGATAGATTCATTGACCACAAATTTATAACTTTACCAAAAATACTAACAAAAAATCAATAGTTCTTTTTTGGAATATTAATAAATTTTATAATTATAGTTAAATATAGCATAAAATAATTCTAGTATAATCTAAAATAATATAATGTCAAATAATGAAAGTTGGTAAAGGAGATTGGAGCATAACAAATAAAAAATTGGGCTCATTCATGAACTTAAAAATGTGCACAGTATCACTAATTTTGAGCCCATTTTAAAATTATACCTTTTTTGCATATCAATCAAGTTTTTTTCTACGCTCTTTGTTATTTAAACGTGCATGTGTTGTAGTTCTTTCGAGTTTAGAAAGAGGGAAAGCAAAGAGACGAAAAGGAAAAGGTAGAGAAAAATGAGTTGGATGATTTTTTATATTTAACTCCTTTTTTTTTATGATAGATCTACTGAAACATTTCTTTTTTTGTTGTAAATCTTCTTGTTATTTTTGCAGCATGAGGCGATTGGGTGGTGATGTATGTGGTTCATCCCGTGGAGAATCGTAAGCTCTTTGTTTTCAGTTTATTTCTGTCTTAAGTGTTTGTTTTTTCTATGTACGTGACTTATATTTGTTGAATTATTGGTAATTTGAGGTAGATCGGTGATTCTTAGTTGCTATATGATGTGTGGTATGCATTATCTTGTGATTAAAAAATGTTAGATGTTATTTTCTGCCATATCTAATCACTTAGAGTAGGACTTAAATTTTATTCTACCACAAAGAATTATCAGGAAAAATTGAAGATATATATTTAATCTTTAGATATGTTGTGTTTGTCTAGATGAATCCTTAACCAATTGGAAAAGAAAATTGTGCCTCATATATCAATAATTTTTTTCAATAAAATGAATTGGGGGAGGGGATAAGGGATTACAAATAGAAAATTGAACTCTCACCAATAATATGAAAGATTGTAGGAAAATATAGGTGAAAAACAAGATGGGTGGGTGGAATTGGGTGGAGGGGGCCAAATCGAATATGGACTGATCGAAAATGAGTGACATGAAAATGAATAAAATATTTAATTTGAATCATATTTGGTAAGGATATAAATTGATGAACTCAATGGATAATATGGATCTCCATTGCTTCTTATTATATAAAGAAATGAGTACTTCAAATTACAAAACTATTTTTTTTTCTCTCCTCTTAGGATGTGTTTAGTATGAAAAAATAATTAAAGGGTAAAAATTCAGATTGGGAGTCTGAGTTAGGGTAGAAAGTAATTTATTCTTCAGTTAGAAGAAACGTAGTTTTTTAAACATTAAAGTAAATCAAACATGAGAAAATTAAAAATATTTTTTTTATACAAAACACACTCTTAATAAGTTTGATTTAATTCCTTTTTCTGATGATAGATCAACTGAAACTTTTATTTTTTATTGTAAATCTTCTTGTTATTTTTGCAACATGAGGCTATTGATTTGTGTTGTATGTGGTTCATCCCGTAGAGGATCGTAAGTTTTTTGTCTTCAGTTTATTTTTGTCTGTAGTGTTTTTTTTATGTACATGACTTATTCTGATACATTGTTTGAAATTTGTTGAATTATTGGTAATGTGAGTTAGAATGGTGATTTCTAGATGCTATATGATGTGTGGTGTGCGTTACTTTGTGATTATAAAAATGTTAGATGTCATTGTTTGTCATATTAACGGCTTAATTTTTTTCTATCACTAAGAATTGTTAGGAAAAACTGAAGATAAAGATTTCATCTTTAGAAATAAGTGAACTTTGTAGAGATTCCTAGACCCTTGCATACTCTAAGGGGAGTGCAATTGGTGGAATATCCATGGATTATCCATATATTGCGATTTATAATATAATTGACTCACTTTTAAATGATTGGATAACCAACCAATTTAAAATGAGTTGAGTTGAGCGTATAGCCATTTACCACACTTATAGCTAACAAACGTAGCTACTAAGATTTAGTTAAGTCAACTACATAAAATAGAAAAAGGAAATGATCATCAGTTATTGTTTTAACTAACAATATAATGACCAAATTATCAATTAATTATCGACAATAACCCAAACTTTGGTATCCACTTTTATTTTTCTCCATCCCACTTTTAAAATGTGACTCTTTTTTATATGTATTTTGATAAAAAAATATTATTTTATTAAATTAATATTAGAATCAGTGGTCATTTTTTTTGTCTTCATTTGATTTTGTGTATTACATTATATTTGCATGGGTCTACATTATTTATACAATATATTTATATTACATAGATATTATATACCAATGTATAAATATTGTATAACAGTGTGTATAAATGTATATACATCTCTTACATATAATTATACATCATATATACATGGATATACATTATTTATATAATATAGATACATTATATATATTAGCTGGAAAAATTAGTTGCTTGGTATATTTGTGTGAGAAATCCTAAAATAGATTATCTCATTTAATTATATGCATTGAAATCAATAAACCTTAAAATCTTAAACATATTTCAATTGAGATCAATGTATATATTGAAATGAGATAATTTATTTTATGTTATTAATTTAACTAACTAATAGGTGTTTGAGAGTGCATACAAAGTTTTTCAAAATTTATCATGTGTTTAGATGCTCAATTGGAACAAACTATAGATTGAACGTCTAAGTAAAATTTACTGACAAATTAAATATTAAGCCTTACAAGTTTGTGCACATCCAAATATTTCACTTGCTATCTTCAATCGCTACATTTGTAGTAACTCTGTCTACCAATATTTAATAACAAATGAAGTTATGATCTCTTTTTATTAAAATTTGAGCTCTAATCTTCTATTATTTCATCTATTTTATTCATTATTGGATTGCACTCTTGATTTTGTAGCAATATATATGAGTGGTTACTTATGGTTATTATTCTCATGATTTTAAATTTTTTCCTTGAATTAGATATAATCAATCACAATTTCATGAAAGTGATTTGAGCGAAATACGAGATGACAGTCATAAAAATAGTAAGCCAGAGTATTATGATGCGCTCTCTTATTTGAAGGATGTTAAGGACATGTTTTCTGACCAAGCAGAGAAGTATAACATGTTTCTTGATGTTATGACCGACTTTAAGAGAAAAAGGTTTGTTACGACAATCTGTCTATTGTTACGGTCTTCAATAATTTATGTTTTGATTTATGTGGGACTAAGTCTTTAATATTTCTCACAAAATTGATATTGTTGGTGTCATAGCAAAAATAAAAGAATTGTTTGAAGGTCATCCTAGATTGCTGCTTGGATTTAATCTTTTTTTGCCCAATGGCTATGAAATAATCCTCACGGATGAAGACAAGAAGAAAACAGATTTGGAACAAGCAATCAGTTTAATGAACAAAATAAAGGTAACATTTATGTTATCTTTTGATTTTAGTAATAAAAGGTCTTTTTTATATATAAAAGAAACCTTTAGTCCTAACTTGCTAATTTATAACTTATTGTAGAAATGTTTAGGAAATGACTATGAGTACAAATCCTTCATAAATATTCTATCCATGTGCAAGGAGTGTAAGAACGTCGAAGAGGTGAACCGTGAGGTGATAAAACATTTTCAAATTGAATATATATTATAGACGATTATCATGTTCTTTTTTATTATTAAGTACTATTTTTTATATGTATAGGTTTCTGTACTTCTCAAGAATCATCCAGATCTACTAGATGAGTTCGCTAAATTCTTGGTAGATTCGTCTATTGCCAATTTGTTGTCTAACTTGGATGACGATAAAATATTGAAAAAGTGAAATATTGCACTTATGAAGTGCTTTTTAGTCTAATTCATAGCGATGCTATGTGGATTTAGTAGAATGATATATCTCAAATTGTTTAATTGAAAACTTAGTTTGTTTTGTTTAATAATCATTATTTGTTTTCATCTTGCCCTGCATTGTTTACTTGATACAAAATTTTTATCATATGTGAGGTATATTTAAAGTTGACTTTTTTTCAGCATTATTATGATCAATGTTCTTCTTCTCTAGATTTCGTAAAACTCACGCGTGGAAAAGTTCAAAAATTACAAAAAGAGTTGATAATTTTTTTATTCTTGAAATTGATTGCAGTTAAATCTAAACTAATTGGGATCAAGAATGTTGATGATATGTAATAAATTTATAATGACATTTTTATTACAATAGATAATTGTTTTTTAAGTGGATAGGTTGTGACGTGCCTTTAATAACTTTCACATTTTATGTCTATCACTCTACAAATTATTATAATTTACCACAATAAATTGTTAAATTCGTTATAACATTATCGTGCATGCATGCTTTTTTACTTTTATGTAAACTCGTATTAAACATATCATATCAAAATTAAGCAAACAATTTATCAACCAAATTGGGGAAATTTGATTGATAAAGGAGGCTGCAAAATAACAAATTAAAATTTGGGTTCATTCATGAACTTCAAAAATGTCTACACGTGTCACTAATTTTTTGCCCATCTCAAAACTCCACCATTTTTGTGGAATCTTAAGAAGAAAAAACAATAAAAATTACAAACGAGGTTATATTTATTGTCAGATTACTCTATTTTGACCTAATGAATAATTTTTAATTCAATAAATTGATGAGAAAATTTAAGAAATAGCTAAGATAATAGACATAATAAGGCTCTATAACTATAGTTTCGATAAAGAAACAACATATGTTAGGATATATCTTTAGAGGAGTATGCTTTCTATCTCGGTGCAAGTTAGCATAACTTGCACCCACCATGGGTAAGCGAGTTCGTATACCCACTCAAAAGGCAATAATGGAGATGGAAGTTTTACACATGAAGGTGAACTCTCAACGAGGTCGAAAACCAAGCTTGGAGGAAGTGAAATCAAGTGATTTGAGTCAAAGAGTAGCGGAATGAGTACAAAATAAGGTGAATCTAGGAAAACTGAGGAATTGCAAATAAAAAGTATAGATCTAGCTTCAAATCATCTGAAAAGTAACGGTAACACTGGGAAAGAGATATTGACTGAAAAAGGGCAAGCGCAGTTTAATGGAACAGTGTTATGTAACAAGGAGGCAAAACGAAAGCAGAGAGACCAAGCAACAGCCATCTGGGACGGGGTTATTCAAACAATTGAATATGGAAGCCCTGTGGAATCAAGTAACAGTAAGAAGTCATGGGCGGATAAAGTGGAAGAGGAGGCTAACACACTTTGACATAGCAAGAAGAAATCAATATGGGACGACTTTGACATAGCAAAATTGGCTAATGCGGGATATAAATTGGAGTATGTAACTCCAGCAAAGAAGGGGGAGATAGTAGAAATCGAAATAGAGGATATTAGGTCTGAAATCACTTACTAGGGCAACGCAGTGGTATGTTATGTACTGGGTGCACACCCTCCTTTTACAGTGATTAAAGGATACATTCAAAGGTTATATGGGAAGTACGGTATAGATAAGGTAGCAATGTTAAAGAATGAGGTACTAGTGGTGAGATTTGAAACTGTGATTAGAAAACATGAGGCATTACAGGAGGCATTTACCATTTCGATAATAAACCGTTCATTGTTAAGGAATGGACACCGGAGTTAAAATTCACTAAGGAGGAACTACAAACGGTCCCAATCTGGATTAAATTCCCAGGTCTGAATTTCAAATATTGGAGCAGGACAGGGCTGAGTAAAATAAGTAGCTTAATAGGGAAACCTATGATGGTGGACCACAATACAGAGGAAAGGAATGGCCTGAATTTTGCGCGAATTTTGATTGAAGTTGAGATGGGAACACAATTGCCAGAGGTGATGAAATTCAAGAATGAAAAGGGGAGACTGATTGAGCAGCATGTACAGTATGACTGGGAGCCAACACTATGTAAGTTTTGTGCAAAGTATGGGCATGAAGAGAAAGTGTGCAGATTTAAGAAGAAATGTCCTAAGCATGTTCAATTACCTCCTAAACAAGGAGATGGACAGAGGGAAGGAAACACTCAAAAGTGGCAAGCGGGAGCAAGGGACCAAGTGACACACCCACTACGAACTCAACAGGGGGGAATGTGGATACAAATAATAAAAAGGGATGGCAAACACCCGTAAGGATAAGGAAGACAACTCCAAGGAGTCCTCCAAGCCAGACATATCAGTTGGAAAATGCAAACTCTTTTCAGGTATTGCAAAACAGAAGTGTTATGGAAGGAAACAAAGAGAATGTGGGAGGCCAGACTACAACAAAGTCTGGAAATGATTAATATACTTACCTGGAATGTAAGGGGGCCTAATGCTCCAAATAAGCAAAAGGAAGTGAAAATCCTTTGCAATGAAGAAAAGGTAAGTTTGATTGGCTTACTTGAAACAAAAATAAAAATTGGAAAAATTGAAAAATTGGCAGAAAGTATGTTTGCTAGTTGGAAGTATGTTACTAATTTGGAGAGGCACAAAAATGGTAGAATATGGATGACATGGAGGCCAGACTATTATTCTGTAAATCTCATAGATATGACTACTCAGCTAGTCACCTGTGAGGTAAAGTTTATACCCCTTCAATTTTCCTTTCAAATTTCATATGTATATGCCTTCAATAGCTGGGAAGATAGAAAGGAATTATGGGAGAGTTTATTGATTCATAGTAAGAGGTGCACTGAACCATGGTTAGTATTGGGTGATTTTAATTCTGTCTTGAATGTTGAGGATAGAATAGGGGTAATCTAGTAACATAGGCAGAAATTATGGATTTCGGAAAGTGGTTTGCTGGAATTTCCTACTCAGGGGAATAGATACACTTGGAGTGACAAACATGAAGAAAATAGAATATTTTCAAAAATTGATTAGATATTCGTCAACAGAGAATGGATGGACTCGATGCCTAGTTGCAAAGCAATATTCTTGACAAAGGGGATTAGTGATCATTGCCCAGCAAAAGTAGTTCTTAATGAAGAGTATAAAACCAGAAAATCTTTTCAGTTCTGTAATGTATGGACAAAACACTCAAAGTTTATAGAAATGGTGCAAGAAGCATGGAAGACAAGGATAGAGGGTTGTATGATGTACCTAATAGTGAAAAAATTAAAGTTGCTGACAAAGAAGTTGAGGGTGTTGCATGCAGAAGAGTTCCAGAATATAGTGAGTGAGACAAGTGCAGATAGGGGAAAGTTGAAGCAGGCACAAATGCAATTACAGATAGACCCTTATAGCATAGAATGTCAATAAAGAGAAAGCCAATTGTATCAGAAATTTAGGATTTAATCATATCTGGCTGAATTATTTCTCCAACAAAGAAGTAAGGCAAATTGGATAAGATTGGGAGATGACAACACAAGGTACTTCTATTCAATCATAAAGCATAGGAAGTTGAAGCATGCAATAACACAACTAAAGGATAGGGCAGGAGTATGGCAATCAGAACCAGCAATTATTGCAAGTATGTTTGTGGAGTATTATGAGGGAATTCTAGGGAACAAGACAGTGCATAGATGTCCACCAATAGGAGAATTATTAAGAAATGGGAAGGTGCTCAGAAAAACAACAATGTGCACTCATTCAGATATTTTGAACCACAAGAGGTGAAAAAGGCTATGTTTTAAAATTGACAGTAATAAGAACCCTGGACCAGATGGATATGGGAGTGGATTCTACAAGGCAGCATGGTCTGTGGTGGGAGAGGATGTCACAAATGCAGTGCTAGAATTCTTTCAGAATAGTAAGATTCTAAAACAAATTAATGCAACAAGTTTTGCTCTCATTCCAAAAATAGAGGTGCCTGAAGTTGCCAGCCAATTTAGATTAATCTCCTGTTGCAATTTCATTTAGAAGTGCATATCAAAGCTAATTTGCAGTAGATTAAAAGTTGTTGTCAGCCACATAGTAGCAGAAAATCAGTCAGCCTTTGTACAAGGGAAATCAATGATGCACAATGTGTTAATTTTTCATGATCTACTTAGACACTATAATAGGAAGAATGTATCTCTGATGTGTCTTATGAAAATAGATCTAAAAAAAGCTTATGACATGGTGAGTTAGGAGTTTCTTGAAAAAGTCCTGGATGGTTTTGGGTTTCCTGAACAATTCATCAAATGGATCATGTTGGGAGTTACTACCACTATGTTTTCAATAAAAGTGAATGGGGAGAACTATGGTTTTTTTGCTGGAAAAAGAGGACTAAGACAAGGAGACCCTGCATCTCCTTTGCTCTTTGTATTAGTAATGGAATACTTGTTAAGAACACTTCAGACTATGAGTGGGATGCCTGAGTTTAGATTCCATCCAATGTGTAAGAAGGTGCAACTAACTCACTTAATTTTTGTTGATGATCTCATGATATTCTGGAAGGGAAATGTGGCTTCAGTCAGTAGAGTTATGGAGGCATTAGCACACTTCAGTACTGCTACTGGTTTGGAGGCAAACTTGGACAAATCAAGTATATTCTTGGCTAGAGTTGATGAGAACACAAGAAGGCAAATTTTGGCTAGAACTGGATTCTCCGTTGTAATATTCCCTATCAAATACCTTGGTCTACCCCTCTCACCAAAGAAATGGACAAACACTGATTGTCATTCTCTAATTGATAAGCTTACTAAAAAAATCACTGTAACTTACTCAAAACAGCTCTCATATGCTGATAGGCTACAAGTAATTAATGATGTATTATTTTCAATCCATAATTTCTGGGGGCCAGTGTTCATATTACCCTAAAGCATTCTCAATGAAGTGGATAAGATATGCAGGAATTTTCTGTGGGGTAGTAGTGCTGCTAAGAGGAAGATAGCTTTGGTGTCATGGGAAAAAGTTTGTTTTCCAAAGAGACAAGGTGGTCTAAATATAAAGGGCAGTAATAATTGGAATATTGCTTCAGTGAGTCAATTGATATGGCAAATCATAGAGAACAAGGAGGCATTGTGAGTTAAATGGGTCCATGGAATATATATAAAGGATGATGATTCTATATGGACTCATAAGACAACATTAGATTGTAGCTGGTACTGGAAGAAATTAAATGTACTTAAAGTTCAAATACAGGAGTGGTATACACAAGATAAATACGAGTTGAAACAATCTGGCATTTATTCTATCACCAGAAGCTACTTGGCAATAATAGGCCACAAACCACAAGTAAGGAATGTTGACTCATCTGGACAGCAATGGCTCTACCAAAGCATAGGTTTATGGTGTGGTTGGCTGTCCAAGGAAGGTTACTCACTCAAGAGAGAAAGTTGAAACTTAGCATTTAAGTTGATAACACTGATTGATGTCTATGTGATGAGAAAACAATGGAGACCAATGTACATCTATTTGAGAAATAGAAGTGCAAATGGACCTCCACTATATGGCAAGAGATGATTCAATGAACCGGAACGACACTGCAGAATGTAGGAATCATCAAGACTTTGCAGAGCATCAGGAGGAAACACTGGAAGAAAATGAAGAAGGAAATTATGGCAGCTATAGGTGGAGCTATCCTAGGCCTCTATCACACATGGCGAGCCAGGAATTGAAAGATATTCAAAGGAAAGCAAATAAGTACAGATGAGGTAGTTTGACAGATAAAGAAAGAGATTACAGAGAGGGTAAAATTATTATACAGTTCAAAAAAAGCACAGAATTGTAGGCAGTTTATTCAACAGTTAATATGTAATTAGTTTTATAATTTTGTCGGAGGCCTAACTTCTGTTATCATAGAATTGGTGCTCTTTAGGTTGTAATTGTTTTTGATGGTTATGGTAATCTTTTACATTTGTTACCAAAAAAAAAAAACTACAGTTTCGATAATTGCGCTTCACAACAATAATTTTGTTTGCTATGAAGGCTGCAATTTGTATATTTCACTTGCCCATTTGTATATTTCACTTGTGAATATACAAACAAAGTATGTATATATAAAATTCCCTAAATTGAATCAAGCCAACATATAAAAAAAAGACTAAAATACCCCGTGTTTGACCTAATTGTCAACAACCCGGCAGGACTACGAAGAAGGAAAGGGGCTTACGATTCTTCAGTAATATTATATACAGAGAGAGTCACCTTACTAGGTATTATAATAATAGACGCATTATTTTTTTCAACTACAGAGAGTAGAAAGGTATAAATAGAGATTTAGTAATGTTTGATTGTATTCTAAATATTTTTTTAATGATCAAACGGATCCTTAATGATTTTTTCTATGGATTAATTCTTAATATTGTTGTATATTACACTATTTTTGCAGCATGGAGCGATTGAAAGTCCAGGTATCTGCATCGGCATCTGCGAACGAGAAATTAAAGCGGCCAATTGGAGAATTGTAAGTTCTATTCACTCAAGTTGCCCATATTTTCAGTTGTAAATTGCCTTGATACAATAATCATTTAAAATATATCATCTCCTTTATTATACGAATTAGCGAAAAACCTCGATTAAGACTCATGTGTATAATTAAATTTACTTTATGTACTTAACTGCATAGATATTTGCATAAATTTTTTTCAAAAATTTGAATACAAAGTGTTTGATCATGCGCTTAGATACTCAACTTAAACAAACGCCACCAATGCCTATCAAGATTTCGTCACGTATGAAGATACCACATGTCTTTATTAAATTTTGAGCTATTATCCTTCCGCGATCGGTATCCTTGTTGCGTTCGCGATCCCCATGCTGGTTGCCTTATTAGGAGAAAGAGTTTTGTTGGGTCTTGTGTTTCAAGTTCTGAAATCAATTGAAGGCGATTCCATCTTTCCATACCTCTAAAGTTGGGACTCCGATTATTTTCCCATTTAATGATATGAGTTAGGATAATGTATCAATCTCATAATTTCATCGTGATGCCCATGTCGGTTGCCTTCCGTGACCGTGATCACATGAGCCTTTCCGCGATCGCGATCACATGAGCCTTTCCGCGATCGCGGTGCCTAGCTCAGTGTCTCTTGCGATCGCGATGTCTGTTGTCTAGCTCAGTGTCCCTCTGTGATTGCGGACCCCTCAGCCGTGATCGCTAGAAAGAGTTTTGTCTGCTCTTGCTAGTGTGTTTCAACTTGTCGTTTTGTCTGGTCTTGCTAGTGTGTTTCAAGTTGTGAAGTCAATTGAAGGCAATCTCATCTTCCCATCCTAAATAGTCTATGGGTTTGAGATAAAGATAAGATAATTCGATTAATTTCCTATTTAATGATATAAGCTAGGGACAATGTATCTATTCAAGCAATCTCATAATTTCACCCACTTCCTTGCGGCGTTCATGATGCCCATGTTGGTTGCCTTCCGCGATCGCGGGTCTAACTTAGTGTCACATCGCAATCGCAGGCCCATCAACCGCAATCGCGATGAAGAGTTTTGTCTAGTCTTGCTAGTGTGTTTCAATTTGTGAAATCAATTGAAGACGATCCCATCTTCCCATTCTTGTGGTTCGATCCCAACCTCTAAAGTTGGAACTTCGTGAAAATAGTTTATGAGTTTGAGTTAGAGATAAGATAGTCCAATTAATTTTCCATTTAGTGATATGATCTATAGATAATATATCTACTCAAGCAATCTCGTAATTTCACCCACTTTATTGATGGTCTGCATCCTTGATTCATAAGTCTACTTATGAGTTATGGCTATGGTTATGATGCATTGGTTTTTCTCTCTCGAATGTATTAGGTATGGTCAATCACAATTTTCTGAAGGTGGTTCGGGCAAAAGAGGAGGTGACCGCGGTAGCGTTGGTGGCAATGCTAGCAACCCAAATGTGACAACTAATGATGCATTGACTTATTTGAAGGAAATAATTAAGGACATGTTTCCGGACCAAAGTGAGAAGTTTAATGTGTTCCTTGAGGTTATGAATGACTTTAAGGCTCAAAGGTTTGCTACTACAATTTGCCTAGTTCATGATCCTCATTTATTTCTATTATGCTTTGGTGATTGATTACGTGGGACTTAAGCCTTCGAATATTCCTCACATAATTGATATTGTTGGTGTCATAGCACGAGTGAAACAATTGTTTAAAGGGTATCCTAGTTTGCTCCTTGGACTCAATTCTTTCTTGCCTAAGGGCTATGAAATAATACTCGATGACGAAGTTGAGGCTCCCCCGAAGGAAACAACTGTCTTTGGTTAAGTTCTTGGTGTATGGATTTGTTTTGAGCAAAGAGTTGTTGAGTTTGGTTAGTATGGTTTTTAATATGATTTCCTTGATCTTGTCAGATAGGTATGGTAAAGGGTTCACTTTCTGTGAAAAGGTTAAGAAAAGACTACACAGCCCAACTGATTATCAAACATTCTTAAAATGTCTCCGTTTTTACAGCAGAGATATAGTTTCAAGGCAGCAGTTACAAAGTTTGGTACGTGTATCATGCATCTAATCTATCTTTTTTGCTCGTTTATAATTTCTGCTGTGTATAGTTTGGTTGATGTTCATGCTAACCATAAGGTTGCAACTCTTGCTTGCAAGTTGTACCCTAAACAACAACAACCCAATCGTGAGGAAAAAAATCCTTGTGATCGCACTTTCTATATAGTATTTTTCTTCATTTATGTTATTTCTTTTTCGATCTGTTTGATTTGTTTTTTCCTTGAGTTGAGAGTCTCTTGAAAACAAACTCTCTACCTCCTAGTAAAGGTAAGATCTGCGTACACTCTAACCTCTCCATATGTCACTTATCGGATAACACTAGCACTCTGTTTGGATCATTGTTATCCATTGTTTCATAATGTATTTTATTGTATTGTACTCTATTGTATGGTAGATACAATGTTTGGCTAGACTTTATTGTTTGTTGTTGTTTAATAACATTTTTATTGTTTGGTTTGACTGTATCATATTGTATTGTAATTTATAAATTTACTAAAATATCCTTAATTATTCTAGGGTAGGAGGTTTGACTAGAATTAAATAATATAAGGTAAAGGGTAAAATAGTACTATGAAATATTATGTAAAGATATAATTGGAAAAAAAAAATTAAGTAACTATGGAAACACACCAAATTGGTTGTTCCATAAAATGGGAGTTTTCATTGTTACATAACAACGGAATTTAACAATACATTTTAAGTAACAATCAAAACAAACATTAATTGTAGGTATAGTAACGATACAATACAATGGGTAACAATGATCCAAACAGGGTGTAGGTATTATGTTGTTGTTCTCTATTTTGACCGACAAAAGGAAGGAACAAGGGTACTGAATCCTGTTTTAACAGGATTTAATTTTGTGGTACTAATGTCTTTGAAATGATGTACAAGTTGGTCTGGTTGTTGTTATTTAAGCATAATAATAGGTTTGAAAGCATGCTACTCATTTCAGGTTTCTAGTATACTCGGAAATCATCTCGATCTTATGGAGGGTTTTAATGAATTTATAGAGTGTTACAAACGAGATGGTAAATCTTGAAATTTCATGACGGTAAACTTGTTATGTCACACACACATATATATATATATGTGATTCCATTTTGACTGGCCTGGTTACTACTTTTGCAGTTGGAATTTTTGTAGGTGAAGTGACTAAGTGGGATGAAGGGCATACTAAGTCCACAGAGAAATACAAAGAGCAGAAGTGTAAAATTGAGGCTCCTCCACAGGGAAGTAATTTTGAAGAAGCTATCAGTTTTGTGAAGAAAGTAAAGGTTATTCTCTTGCTTCTTAGTTTATCAACATATCTATCGGATTCTCATACTTTTATAATAATACAGATATATGTACTATTATAATTGTATATGAGTCTTTGCGGTTATCACTTTGTGCAGGTTCGTTTCCAAAGTGATAACCCTGTGTATGGATCCTTCTTAGCCATTTTGAAGATGTACAAGGAACACAAGAACATTGATAAAGTCTATCATGAGGTGATAAACCATTTTTAAGTTGGATACACAAATATATATTATTATATAATTGATTTGTGACTCTTTTTTTGTTCTTTTTGTGTATAGGTCGCCATAC